CAGAGCTGGGGAAACAGAGCTTCAGACAGTCTCTCTACCCTATCCCTGGGGCCCTAGCCTTGGCTTCAGCCCCCAGGACAGCAGCACCGGGCTATCTCCTTGACAGGCCACATGCTTTCCTAGGGCCTTGGAGATCAAGGGTTGAAGGCTTCCAGCCCATTCTCTGGCACTATAGGAAGGTGCCAGAACCTTTAGGAGGTGAGGCCTACCTAAGGCACTGGGGGCATGACCCTGAAGGGGACCACAGGACCACGGGACCCTGTCCCCTTACTCTCTTACTTTCTGGCTGTATGAGGGCAGCCCTGGCTCCTGACTAAGACCTGTTGCCGACCCACGGGCTCCAAAGCCACTGGTACCCATGGCCATGATCCAGAATCAACCTTCCTTTTTTGTTTGTTTTTTGGAGACAGGGTTTCTCTGTGCAACAGCCCTGGCTGTCCTGGAACTCGCTCTGTAGACCAGGCTGGCCTTGAACTCGGAGATCCACCTGCCTCTGCCTCCTGAGTGCTGGGATTAAAGGTGTGCACCGCCACCAGCAGCTAACCTTTCTTTTTCCTTAACATGAGTCTCTCCAGTATTTTGTTATAGTTATGAAAGCTGACCAACTAAGGTGACCTCAGCCCCACAATATTGCCAGGGGTACCTAGCTGACATGTGACAGCGCATTACAGACACCTGAAATCATGGTGTTCATGAACCTTCGAAACAAAACTACCACCACTACTGGAACTATTTTGGTGTGTGGGTGAGGGCTGGGGATCAACCCCATGCTAGGCAAGTTCTCTACCACCAAGCCATACCCTTGCCTGCTGGTACAAAAATTCTCATGGTAGTTTAAGAAAGAGCCTCGTTCCAGATTCCCCTGCCGAGAGGCCATCGTGGGCACTGGTTTCTGAGGTGGAAAGGGTGGATCTTGTGCAGCACTGAAATATGAACTTTGGTGGAATGGAGGATTGTATAGGGTACAGATCTGCACCCCAGGGTCAAGATGAGAAATCCCCAGGCATAAGAAGAGGGTACCCCTGGTGACAGGTGGTGCATCGTTGCAAGGCCACAGAGGTGGGGGCCCTGGGAGGAAGAACGGCCCTCTATCACTTATCTCTTTCAGCGAACAAATTACCTTGGATCAAAGATTCACTATGTCATGCGGTTTCTAAGGGAAAGGAGACTGAAACCAGATGGGCTAGGGGCTCTCTCTCTCTCAGGGCCTCATGAGGCTACAATAATGACAGCCAGGGGTGCTGTCATCCAAAGTCTTGAAGGGTGGAGGAGACATTTCTAAGGTGGTGTCCTCAGAGCAGCTTGTGAAGGAGAGAAGGGAGGAGGAAAGGAGGGAGAGGGAGAGCACGCACCAGCCACCCACGTTCTACAACCTCAAGTTGGGAATGGTCCCTGCTTGCTCTTGTCATTGTTCATGAGTCACACAATGATCTCAGTGCCAGGCAACTACCTAAACCTAGGTGGGTGGGCCACTAGGTTGTCTGGAGAATGGCCACCAAAGGTGCCAAGAAGTCAGGCTCACTCACGGCCTTCTGTTGCTAATGCTCCTGAAGGAGATGTACAGTTTGGTTCCATTGCAAGGTTAGGGAAGAAATGGTAATGGCTGCAGAGAAACTAAACCAGCTCCTCCTTAAACGAGGCAACTATTTTTTTTTTTGTTTTTGTTTTTTCGAGACAGGGTTTCTCTGTGTAGCTTGGCTGTCCTGGATCTCGCTCTGTAGACCAGGCTGGCCTCGAACTCACAGAGATCCGCCTGGCTCTGCCTCCCAAGTGCTGGGATTAAAGGCATGCGCCACCACACCACCACCGCCACCACCACCACCGCCCAGCTACGAGGCAACTATTAAGCCTAGGAAAAAACAAGAGGTTGGACAAGTAAAACAAATGTAATTATGATACACTACCCATCGGAGAGTCCTGTTTGCAAGGACACAGTCTTACAGTGGATTCTGAATTCACTGCCATGAGATGTGTGGGACGCACATGCGTGCATGTGTGCATGCACATTCATGGGCACATGAACAATGGCTAACATAAGAGAACAGACACCAACTGCAGCAGCAAGAAGTCAGTGGGCAGTTTCTGAATCTGGAGGAAAAAGGAACACTGTTGGCACAGTCTTCAGAGGTAAATACCCAGGGAAAGAACACGCGAGCGCTCGCTGCAGAGTTCAGTTCCCAGCAGTCTGTCTGGCTCCTAACTGGCTCACTTGTTGCTCCCAACAGTCTAATTCTGACGGGATGTCATCTTCTAGCTCCTGAAGTACTACACTGACATGCACATACCCACACACAGACACACGTCATTAAAAACACTTTTTAAAGATTGAAGTAAATAATCGAAGAATATGCTAAAATAGCAGTTTGCCTCTGAGAGGGACCCAGGCAAGGAGGCGCCAGCTTTTCATGGCAAGTCTTACAGAACTGACTGCCCAACAATGCAGGCCTATGGCTTTGAAAACACCATGAATAAAATTTAAACAAGTAAAAACGAAACCCAAAGCTGGGGATGAAGTTCAGTTGGTAGTGTTTGTCTAGCATGCAGAGCCACCAGTGTGGTAGCACAGACCTGTAACTCCACTGCTAGGGGCAAGGTTAGGAAGAGCAGAGGCTCCAGGTCACAGCACACATTCCACCTGTGCTGCGATGAGACCTTGTTCAAAACCAAACCAAACCCCAAGCCTAGACTCTATTCACAGCTCTTCACCAGGACCTGATCCAGGCCCCTCTGCCTGGAGTCTGGACCCCTGCACCTTACCTTCCCATTTTCCAGGAGCCCTTTAGGAGCTGGCACAGCAGGTGCCTGCTGTGTGTGGGGAATGGGGAAGAGAGTTCTACTCCATCACCTCTGTGACACCCACCTGACAACTCCTTGGGCCATTTATCTGCATGTCAGTGGTGCCTCTATCCTGCGCCTCTGCTTTTAATTAATAATTAGGTAAGACTCCTGCTGGACCTGGTCAGTGTGGTGCAGCAGGGTTGCTGGGCTGGGCTGCTGTTGAGGTGGGTGGGCCAGGTGGGTGACCCTTTGCTCCTCACCTCCGATACCAGACCTTCAGTTGACTGGTAGGTGAGGGGTGTGTTCAGCTTGGCACTGTCTCTGGAGGGGAAGGTGGTCCAGGCTGACATCCTGCTGACTCTGGAGACACCAAACTCACCATCTCACTATTAAAGAAGGAGGTGCTGAGAGGCAGTGACTTGACCGGACACACTCAGCATGCAAGAACAGAGACCTTGGACTGGAGCCCTGTACAGATGTACTCACAAAGTTACAGCCCCAGACAAAGCTCGCCCAGGCCTCTCCCGAGGAGGCGGTAGGACAATACTCCTGGGGGCGTGTAGCAGCCACTTGGGGTCTAAGGAGCAGGTGAGCTCCCAACAGCCAGGAGACAGCAGGCGGCTCGAGTGAGGTGCTCAGGAGGGTCACGATTCCCCAGCCTGACCTGCCTGGTACATAGGCAGTGATGGCTTAGGCCTCTCTCCCCAGGGTTGACACATGAGCAGGAAATGAGGATGGTTAGGGTCTTGAGTGACCCAGAGGCCAGGCTAGGTCACCTCCTCCTGGAAGCCTCTTCTCCAGTGGCTGGACAGGGGAAGGGATGCTGGTAAGGGGCACAGAAGCTGCAGATGAATTTGGAAATCTATTTGGATCTGACCTGAATTATTAAGAGGTTCAAGAATATTCTTAGCTCTAGAGAGCTGTGGTCTGCTGAGATGGACATCACCGCGGCCCTATTTTTAAGGTTCTGTGGGAAGGAGCTGAGACGCCACTGCACTTAGGCCCCCCTGCCCTCAAGCACTGGTGTCTGGCCACCCCACCCCAGACTGGCCCACATTCTGTGCTCCATCTATTCTACTCCTCCACTTTGCACCCCTGGCCCTGGCACCCTACTCCCCCAGTCCCCTCTAGTAGTTCAGTCTGGCAAACTCTGGCTGGAGTGGGGGTTGGGGGCTAGGGTCCCACACCATCACCACTGATGTGGCAGGGCATCATAGCACTGGCCCATATCCCAAGCATGCAGTGGCCCTGCACTACCCCCAAGCCTGGCTGCTACCCTGTGCACTAAACTCTAGCGTCTTCGAGGCACAGACCCACACCAAACCTCAAGCCTGTCTCAGGCTCTGAGAACTACATGCTGTCCCGAGCCCATACTTCTGCTCCTTCCCAAGGCCATGGTCGAGCTAGACCCATTGCTAGCAGCATCTGGAAGGGCCATGGCTAGTAGTCTGGGGACAGGCAGGGAAGGTGCAGAGGTGGTGGCAGCCTCTTCTCAATTCTGGGATTCATGTGGGTCCTCAGCATGCTCCCACTGCTGCCATTCCAGGAGGTCACCAAAGAAACCACTCCAGGCTGACCATGGCTGGCCAAGGTAACAGACGGGTCGCCAAAGGCAGGACTCTTGTTTTTTTTTTTTTTTTTTTTTTTTTTTTTTTTTTTTAAAGATTTATTTATTTATTATGTATACAGTGTTCTGCCTGCATGTATGCCTACAGGCCAGAAGAGGGCACCAGATCTCATTACAGATGGTTGTGAGCCACCATGTGGTTGCTGGGAATTGAACTCAGGACCTCTGGAAGAGCAGTCAGTGCTCTTAACCTCTGAGCCATCTCTCCAGCCCCAGGACTCTTGTTTTTGAGACAGGATTTCTCTGTAGTTTTGGTGCCTGTCCTGGGTCTCGCTCTGTAGACCAGGCTGGCCTCGAACTCACAGAGATTCACCTGGCTCTGCCTCCTGAGTGCTTGGATTAAAGGCGTGCGCCACCACTGCCCAGCTGGAAGGACTCTTAAGTGAGGCTATTTCTAGTGATCTCAGGGTAGAAAAAGAAAATAGCAATGAATTAGATTCCAGACAAACTCCTTGAGACACATGCTCCCATCACTAAAATCCAGAACTTGAAACTCAACTACACATAGCCCAGTTACACACACACACACACACACACACACACACACACACACACACACACACACACACACACACCAATACAGGCAAGAGACAAATGATGTAAATAGACATTTACCCTGAACTACAGAAGTGGCCAGAAAGTGGATAAAAGGTGCTAAAGTCATTCATCACTAAGAGAAGGCAAGTAAGCTCCCATCAGGTCCCTTCCAATTCACTGGGTGGCCAGACTCTGAAGACACACAGTAACAAGGCTGAAAGTGGAGATACACCCTTGGGGTGGCGACAGGGCTGTAGAAGGGGACTGCTCCTGTAGGAGACAGCTTGGTGGTGGGTTCGTAGTAAGTTAAGCATAGGGAGGGTCACCAGAGGACCCGCACTGCCCCTCCTCGGCATGTGCCCACAAGGACTGAGAGCAGTTCCCAGGGAGCCCAGCACACAGGACTCCTCGGACAGGCACAGGCAAGCATCTGGGGCTGGGGACTGGACAAGCCGAATGGACAACTGCATGCATAGGGTAGTGTTCAGTCACAAACAGGACTGCAGTAATGACACACGGCACCCCACAAAGGAACCTGGACACAGGCAAACCCCCACACACAAAGTGGGATGGCTGGGCTGACAGATTCTTGTGGGGAACTGGTGGCTAACAGTCTAAGGCTCCCATCTGAACAGTGAAAAGGCTTTAAGGCATACAAGGTACTGGCTGCACAAGATGATGAATCTTCCTCTTGTCTGTGACAAAGCCTTTGGCCTGTGTCAGGCTGGTGAGCTGCTGGTCTCAAGCTCCCCAGTAACCGGGCCCACACACCACTGTGCAGAACCGGATTGTGAGTATCCCAAAAGACCAACAAGTTGTACTTTAACAACTGAAAGGGTTTTCTCTCAGAAAAAATCACATCAAAGTTGTCTACAAGCCCGCCTTCAGGCTCTGGCCTGCACCTTCCTGTGTGGGAAACGGGTGGACTCCTTGCAGCTTCTGGCTGTACTGGCATCCTGGAGAACCACCTCCCTGGGGACACAGCTACCATGACCATGACTTGCTGAGAAGAGGATCTGAGTGTTGGAAGGTACCAAGCTGAGTGGTGTCAGTGTGATGGGGTATGACTTGCGTGTGTCCTGGGGAAGGTCTCCTGTTGGAGTGGAACAGATGAAACAGAGAGGGTGGCCAGGCTGGGTCCCCAGCCACTCTGGTGGCTCACAGGAGCGGGAGGAACTGCCTGTTCAAGTGAGGTGTGGATGGGGGACTCTATAAGCTGTTTTTCTCCTTATCTGTAAAGCTGGCCTTAACGACTGATGGTCTTGGCCTCTGGAACCCCATTTCTCTAAACTAACAGCTTTTCTTCACTCAAGGATGCTGTGTGCCGGGCCCCGTGTGAAGCCCTCCCCCTCCTGTGGCACCTTCCAGCAGCATGGGTAGCTGGACAGGCCTTGTTCCCCACTTGAACATCTGAGCTCTGCATGAGGATTCTGGTCATTGCAGTTCAGCCTCAACCTTTTGCTTCCAATCTCTCCAAATCCCCCCACAACTCTGTCTTGACAGGGCTCGAGGAGGGAGAATCTGGAAGAAGTTAAGAAGACAGATGGAGGGGCCAGCTGCAGGCTCTCCAGCTCTTGGCTTCCACAGGAATGTCAGGGAATGTGTATGTGTGTGCATGTGTATGTCTGTGTGCATATGTGTGGGTGTGTATGTGCATGTGTGTGCACGTGCGTATGTGTAGAATGTGGGTGAGTGATAGGGGAGGGCCAGTGGGGGCTGTACCTCTTGGAGACCTGCTAGTCTGGGGCACTCTGTTAAATCCAAGGTTTAACCTGCTAGCCTGGGACTCTGACTCAGCAAGTAGGTAGAGTGAGGCTAAAGCTGGGGTGGGGGTTTCCTGGTCAAGCATACATTTCCCTTCCCACACCCCCCCATGGGAGGGGAGAGATGTGGGCACCACAGGGATTCCCTTCCTGTTCTGACACTATGGGTGTCCCTGGGGCTCTTACATCAGGTGTGTGGTGGGTAGGTTGCCACCCTCTGCCTCATACCTCATTTACTGGAACTTACTGGGTGACAGGACCACATGTATATTTTTCCTAATATCCCAAACTGAAATCCCAGGGAGTGGGAACCAGCTGCCAGTTCCATCAAAGACTGCAGCAGCAGACCCACCCCCCGGAGTCTTGACAGTCACTACAGACTGGCTTAGGAGGGAGACTCGGCAGCCCAGCTGGATCTAAATGGGACCGGATATCATCACAGGAGAGCCGTCCCTGATGTCCCTCCCTTATCACTAACCCTCTGTCCATCCTGATCCCCCCCACGGGTGTCCACAGGATTTGGCAGCTAGCTTCACCCACCACCTGTTGCCTCTCCTCCAGGGAGTTTGGGGATTAGGGTGCAGGCAGGGGACATGTTACAGGTAGGCCACCTCTGTGTCCCACCTCAGCTGCCACTCTGGTGAATCTAGAGGATGTATGTATGCATGGGAGGACAGGGTACTGGAGCCATGCTGCTGGTGAGTCACCTCTGTGGCCTGCCTCAGCAACCACTTTAAGCCCACCCAGAGAAGAAGCCACTGGCCTAGAGCAGACCTGCTTTCTTGGTGGGATGGAATTTTGACGCTCCCTCTGGTGAGAAGGCGGCAGGAAGAGAAGTGAGGAGCCAAGCCTGGGGCTTTCTCACCATGGGCCTCAACCGGCTTCCCATCTGGCACCCTCTGTGGAGCTGACTCCCCAACGCCCGCCCACTCTGGAGCCTGCTCCAGGCTGAGGCTTTCCCACTGCAGGTCCCTCAGGCTCAGCAGTAGGTAGGCTTAAGGACAGGCACCTTGGGGACTGCAGCCTGGCGTCTGTGGTCAGGATGGTGATGGAACAGTAACCCCTGAGAATAGAGGAGCGAAGCCAGAACCAGATCTGTATTCCAAGGGGGAAGGGCAGAGCTGCAGGTGCTGGCGCAGGCTGCCAACCTCAGGGCCTCTGGGCGCCTGAAGCCTGAAGCCCTTGTGTACTCTGGGTGCTTGTGTGTGTTTTCTGGTCTGAAATGTGGTCCTGCTGGGGCATGGTGACGACACTGACCAGCCAGTGATTGAGGAGGCTGGGTAGCCATCAGCGCTACCTGTTGTGGGGTTTTGGTCAGTGTTGTCTCTGGGGCCTGGTGCTCTACCTGTGGCTGTGGGTGAGGTTCCCATAGTTCCTAGAGATCATCTTCTCAGGGTGGTGACTGTACCCAGGTTGGAGGAGGAGGTCAGAGGTCTGAGTCTTCATGATGCTCAGTTCTCTCCAACTGCTGGTCCTTCTGCTGCTCCTGGAAGCCTGGCTGGGGGTCTTTCAGGTCTGTGATGGAGTCTCTGCCATGGTCCTCGGGGGGCCTGCCTTGATGTGCAGGTGCTCCTGGGCCATCTTTGGGGCATATTTTTGGCCTCTGCTCCTTCTGGCTCCTGGTAATGACACCCAGAAAGAGGTAACATAAAAATCCAGGTGTGCCAGAAGTCCCCTTGCTCCCCAGGGGTCTCTGGAAGGCCTGTTGAAGGGTCCAGTCTAGAGGGATAGGCAGACAGTCGTCACCTGAACAGGTCCACTCTGCCCTCAGGCTGACCAAGCACAACTTCGAAGCTGGGGGTAGGGCCCAGCTGTCCAGGGGAATGTCCATTCTCTCAGTTCTCAGATAGCTTAATGGGCTCAGGAACAGCCACCAGCTACCAGGGGAATGGGCATGTACCACCAAGACAGGGCTGTTGTCGTCACCTGGGCAATGAGGAGCACCAGAGGCAGGGAACAAAACTGAAGCTGTCAGGTGCACTATGTTCTATTGCTGATGCCCTGTGCCTCAGTTACCCCACCCATGAAATGGGACCACAGTACCTGTTTCTTGACAAGGCTTCCCTGAGGCCTGTTCTAGTGACACCAGTTTGTGTAAAGATTCACAACAGCCCTGTGTCCCCAAAGGAGACTACCAGCTAACAACAGTCTCACTGTATCTCAGAGCTCGAAGGACAAGAACTCCTGTGATGAGACAGCCATGTGAGGGGATGTGGTAAAAAACAGAACCATGTCTGACTCTAAAGACCATAACCTTTCTGGGGAGACCTGGCCTGGATCCCTGAATAGGTGAAGTGGACCAGAAAAGGTTAGGCAGCTGTCCTGAATAGTTTTACATCAACTTGACATGGACTAGAGTAATCTGAAAGGTTCAACTGAGCCTCAACTGAGAAACTGCTCCCATAAGATCTGGCTGTAGGACATGTTCTTAGTTAGTGATTGATGGGGGAGGGCCCAGCTCACTTTGGCTGGTGGTCCTGGGTTCTGTAAGAAAGCAGGCTGAGCAAGCCATGAGCAAGTCAGTAAGTGGCACCCTCTCAGCTGAAGCAGGTTCCTGCCCTGTGTGAGTTCCTGCCCTGACTTCCTCCAATGATGAACAGTGATACAGAAGTGTGAGCCAAATAAACCCTTTCCTCCCCAAGTTGCCTTTGGCATGATGTTTCCTCACAGTAATAGAAACCCTAACTAAGACAGGAGCCATGTTTGGAGGTGGGCCTTGGGCCAGCTGAGCCATAGGAGCGGGGTTTCTTGAAGGTTCCCAATGGTTTTGAAGTCTATTCTCCTCCAAGGGACCTCTTCCTATGTCCCCTGCCAGGCCTGGTCTCACACTGTGACTACAACCCTGCATCATGGACAGGCTGGGCTCACACACAGCCATTGAGGACATCCTTCCCACACTCACCTCTCCTGCCTTTGTGCAGGAGACCCAGGGTGTCCTAGAGTCCTCCGGATGTAGTCTCGGGAGCGGATGTCAGCCTGAAAGACACACACAGCTGTGGCCAGGCCCTAGGCATGTGTCCCTATCCCTAGCCATTGGGAAGCACTTCATGCCCTTCCAGAGACAGCCCACACATGCCCATCATGTCCTTTGGGGACATCAGCTCCACCGGTGTGTAGCTGACAGAAATACATCAGCTCAGTGGCCAGTGAAACCTCAGTCCAGAGCTCCTGATTCTCCATGCTGCTTAGCCCTTTTCTCTGACCCACCGCCCAGGTGTCTGTCTTCTCTGTCTGTCCCTCTGATGAGTGTCAGCTGTGACACCTGCCTATGGTGAGATATTGTGTACCCTAATAAACTTGCCTGAGGATCAGAGGACAGAGCCAGCCACTAGATTAGACATAGAGGTCAGGCAGTGGTGGCACACACCTTTAATCCCAGCATTTAATCATGCCTTTGCTTGGGAAGCATACATGCCTTTAATCTCAGGAAGTAAAATGGCAGGGCAGAAAAAGGTATATAAGGCATGAGGAAACAGGAACTCACTCTCTTTAGGCTGAGGATTTCATAGAGGTAAGAACTAGCGGCTGACTGTTCTGCTTCTCTGATCTTTCAGCTTTCACCTTAATATCTGGCTCTGTATTTTTATTAAAAGACCATCTAAGAATCGAACAACATCTGCCATCTCTAGAAAGTCTGACAAGTTACCATAATAAAAAAGGGCTTGCCGGGCGGTGGTGATGCACGCCTTTAATCCCAGCACTCGGGAGGCAGAGCCAGGCGGATCTCTGTGAGTTTGAGGCCAGCCTGGACTACAGAGTGAGTTCCAGGAAAGGCGCAACACTACACAGAGAAACCCTGTCTCGAAAAACAAAAAACAACAAACAAACAAACAAACAAAAAGGGCTTGTGAGCCACAGGTATGGACATAGAGTGGGACTCAGACCTGAATATATTTCCCATCACCTGTAAGGGTCTGGCCTCAGGAATCCTCTGATCCCAGCTCAGATGGGTTTAGCTTAGGTTTGGGACCACATGACCCACAGATAGCAACGGCTAATCCTGTAGACAAACACCTCTTCCACTAAGGAAAGCAGGTTGTGAGCAGTGGGATGTCTTGATGGGCAGAGCCTGGACCCAGTACAGCAGAGTCTGGGTATGAACCAGAGCAGAGGGAAGGAAGACCCTAGAGACAGGCACTGACCCCTTCTTGGAGAACTTTGGGGAGGTGGAAATGCTGGGAAGGTGCTCTGCTGAGAGGCCAGCGGAAAGAAGAGAAGCCAAGAGCTCCAGCCAGTCCTTCTGGGCAAGGCCAAGTCTTATTCCCTTCCTCCCTGCCAGGCTGGACTCCCAGAGTAGGCAGCCATGTGCTTGCTCTGTGTGTGCCCAGGGTTGGGCAGGCTCTCCTATGCTAGACATGCTCTGGCTTCCAGTATTCAAGGTGCTTTGCAGGACAGAAACCACTGTAACTCTGGGAAAAACCATGGCCCAAAGAGCTGAGGCCTGCACAGCCGCTCTGGGACTGTGGAACATAGGGCTGCATGTCCTAAGGGAGGGTATCAGTGGCTTCTCTCATTAGACCAACAAGATGGAAGGGGAAAGGTCTCCTGGGGCTAGGGACATGACTCACAGGTTTGAGAGACCATTGCACCTGTAACCAAAGTAACACCTAGATGAGGGAGGTCTGGGGTGAGCTAGGTTGAAGAGGGTTCTCCCAGGGGGATGCCAACAGCTCACAGTTCTTAGAGGCCACCTCTGGGCAGCCTTTCCAGGAGTAGGGCTGAGCACCACAGGAGGCACAGCCTCCTGCTGCCATCTGGAGGCCATCCTGTGCATCTGCAGCTCTGCTGCTCCCCCTTAGGGCAGAGCCAGAGTCCAGACTGCAGCCACTCAGATGCATGGCCTCCTTCACACCTCCCAAAGACCTCACAGCCTCCTGAATGTGCAGAGTTGTGGCCCGAAAACCTGTCTCACAGGAGACACAGACAGCAGCCGCTCGAAGTCCCTTGCTGGTAAGGCCTAAAACCTGAGGCTTCCTGCCTCCCTACTCTGGCTGAGTTGCTTGAATATATCAAATTCCTCCCGACCTGGGGCTTTTGCTAGTGCCTTTCCCGAGCCTAGACTGTCCTCCTAACCTCCTCTAAAAAGTGGCTTTTCTAGCCGGGCGGTGGTGGTGTACATCTTTAATCCCAGAACTCAGGAGGCAGAGGCAGGTAGATTTTCTAGGATAGCCAGGGCTACACAGAGATACCGACTTGAAAAACAAACAAGCTGGGCAGTAGTGGCACACACTTGGGAGGCAGAGCCAGGCAGATCTCTGTGAGTTCGAGGCCAGCCTGGTCTACAGAGCAAGATCCAGGACAGGCACCAAAACTACAGAGAGAAACCCTGTCTCAAAAAGCCAAAAAAACCGGCCGGGCGGTGGTGGCGCACGTCTTTAATCCCAGCACTCGGGAGGCAGAGGCAGGCGGATCTCTGTGAGTTCGAGGCCAGCCTGGTCTACAGCGCAAGATCCAGGAAAGGCGCAAAGCTACACAGAGAAACCCTGTCTCGAAAAACCAAAAAAAAAAAAAAAAAAAAAAAAAGCCAAAAAAACAAAACAACAACAACAAAACCCAGAAAGAAAGAAAGAAAGAAAGAAAAAGAGAAAGAAAAGGAGGGAGCTTTTGCTGGGTCCTCAACCTAGCGGCCACTGCTGGACAGGCACCAGCATGTGACAGGTGATACAGAAAGGTGACCTGTTGGTGTTGGGATCTCGGCTGCATGCTGCTTTCCTACAGGTTAAGATGACTGGCTTATCAGTGTGCTGAGTCTCTGGGGCCCTGAAGAGCAGCATGGGTGACAGGTACCTGGCAGAGCCACGCCCTGGGGTCCGTCCTAATTGGCGACCTTGGCACCAACACAAGTCTCCTCAATGTGGCCGTGGAAGGACGCTGTGAGAGCCTCTGGCTAAGGGCTGCTCCCACTGGTCCTGTCCAGACGTGCTGGTTTGGAAGACAAGGCGCTGTCTCTCCGCACGGCTGGCGCAGGGGCAGGAGGCGTGGCAAGGCAGGAGCAGCACAGTGGTGAGACGTCCCCAAGGGAACAACCACTGCTCTACACTCTCGCCTTCAGTGCCCAGTGAGCTCCACCAGGCTCTCTAGGCCGGGGCCTGGGGACCTGTCCTCAGATCCCTGCAGACACCCACCCCCAGGTGACTAGGTGGCAGTGTCAATCCCCCATTCCCAGCCCCCATACCTGGCGTATAGGCTCTGGGATCCGGAACCTACAGCAGTGGTGGGTCAGGCGCACAGCGACCTCCAGGCTTATTCTGTGGCCCACAGACACATAGAGGGGGTTGGTGCTGTGGTCATGGCTCTTCAGGGCCTGTGGGTGAAGGGAGGTCAAGCATGGCTGGGGTATGTTCCTGTGAAGTAGGACCAGTCTCAGAGCGAAGGCTCTGAGGATGTCCTGGGTGGCAGGAAGAAGTTCACAGGGTGCAGGCATCTCCAGGTGGCACATGGGAAGTGTGGCCAGAGGAGGACGTAACACAGCATAGGCTGGTTGGTGGCAGGGTATGAAGAGGACAGGGTCTGGCCTGCACAAGTGCATGTGTGCAGGAGCTGTCTTGTGGCATGGTCTAGTGGACCCCGAGTCTGGACAGGGCACAGCCTTTGGGCCACTCACCATTCCCAGGACTGTCCCAGAGTTGCCCATCAGAGGAAACGTGTCTCCCCCAGCCTGAAGGAGCACAATCTGGAAAACGGAGAAAAAAAAAAACAACTATAAAAATCCCCTTTTAAAAATGTGTAGAGCAAGCATGTTAGTGCACACCTTTAATCTCAGCACCAGAAAGGCAGAAGGGCAGACCTCTGTGAGTTTGAGGCTACTCTGGTCCATAGACTCAGGTACCTAGATTCAGCTACCTAGTGAGACCTTATCTCAAAAAACAAATGAATAGCCAGGTGGTGGTGGCACAAGCTTTTAATCCCAGCACTGGGGGTCAGGAAGCAAGTTTCAGTACAGTCAGGGCCACACAGAGAAACCTTGTCTTGAAAAACCAAAACCAACCAAACAACCAACCAAATACCAAACAAAAGTGCAGGTAGGCTCCAGTATGTCATCCTCAGAACATCATTCACCTTCTTTGAAAAGGAGTCTCACCAAGGAGCCCCCTTTCCCTGACTCTCTGGTGCTGGGATAACAAGCAGGGGCCACCAGGCCCAGCACTTTTCACATGGGTAATGGGAATCACGCTCAAGTCTTTGTGTTCAAGACAAGCACTTGACTACCTGAGCCAACCCCAACCCACTGTCCCTTCTGAAATGGCTGAAGGCAAGCATCAGTCTTTAAAAGATTATTTTCTAGACTGATGCATATGTGTGTATGTCTGGTGGGGGTGTGTGCATGTGAGTACAAGTTCCCATAGAGGCCAGAAGCATCAGTCAGGCTGCCTGGAGCTGGAGTGACATGCGCTTGTCAGCTAAGCAACACAGGTGCTGGGAACCCAACCTGGGTCCTCTGCAAGAGCAGTACATTTTGTTTTGTGTTGTTTTGTTTTTTCGAGACAAGGTTTCTCTGTGCACAGCTCTGGCTGTCCTGGAACTCACTCTGTAGACCAGGCTGGCCTTGAACTCACAGAGTTCTGCTTCTGCCTCCTGGGTATTGGGATTAAAGGCATGTGCCACCACTGCCTGGCCTGAGCTGTACATATTTTTAACATGTTGAGCCATCTCTCCAGCCCAGCAAACTTCACTTTAGAAATCTAAGCAGTGAGAAGAGGGCCTCCTTCTGTCTAGGAGCAGCAAGGCTACACCTCAGAGGCGGCACTGAGCATGTTGCCAACTGTGCTGAGGTCATGACACGAGGCTCCATCTACCCTGGTAACTGGGGCTTAGAGAAGGGGTTGTGGTTTGCCAAGGCCCCCAAAGGCAGGTGGAGGGCACACAGGTTCCGCTGGGCACAGCAGTGCATGTCCAGGCCAAAGCTACCACCTCCTGGATGCTTCCGTCCAGCTAGGGATCCGGCACAAGTCAACTCACAGCCCTCTTCTTTTGGGTGGGGAAGGATCAGCACATCCAGTGATCAGGTTGCTGTGAGTAAGACGGGGCTTCCCCCACTCCACCAGCGCAACAGCATTGATAAGTCACTCTCTACACAGGCTCCTGAGAGCTAGGAAAGAGATGGCCGGGTCTCTGCTCTTGGAACCTGCCCAGTGGGATAAAAGTGATGTCACACGGCTTCCTCTGGATGAGGAGGGCACATCCACATTGCCAGTCTGGGATGGAAAATGGGCCAGAGTCAGGCACCACTGTAAGCTGAGACTGCGGGCTAGTGTGAACACCCTGGGAGGGGAGAAGGTGGCCAGGGTGAGGGGGGAACCTGGAAAGCCTGTCCCCGGGAACTGGAGAGCACGGCCCTACCTGAGTGCTGCAATGGCAGAGGCAGAGAAGGGGTTGGCAAACATGGTGGCAGGTGCCCAGTGAGCTTCCGAGGGCAGAGAGCCACTGCTAGATGAACTGCCCAGAGGCACACAGAAGGAAGCGCCCAGGGAAAAGTCCGGGGTGTAAGGACTGTGCTAGCAGGCCAGGCTAGATCTGAGGTGCCCCAAGAGGTGGCCAAGCATAGGCCCACCCCAGGGCTAACAGGTGCACACTGCTTGAGTGACAGGGAGTCCCAGGCCCTCCTCACCTTCTCCTTGTGCAGGGAATTGTTCTCCAGCCCGTCCACCTGCAGGAGCTTCTTGGCTACCCCAATGCAGGGCAGATCTGTAAGGACACCAAGGTGGCAGGCCACCCCAAAGCCTGCAAGGAAGCAAGGGGAGTAAGCTGGGTGGTAGGGATGGGATAGGGAACCAACCAGAATCTCTTCTCCATAGACATAGACTCTCGAGTGGGAGCGAAGCTGACTGGACTATGAACAAGGCCCTCTGTCCTGAGCTCACAGGTGTTAAGGATGGGGTATAGGAAGCCTCCTTCCTCTGACCAGATGGGTAGACTATGGCACATCCTCAGAACCCTTCACCCTCATCCATCTGCTGCTGTCCTCAGGCCTCTGCACCTGTCCCCCATGGTCTGGGCCTTGTCTGGTGGCCTGAACTGCAATGCTGGGGACACACACTCGGCTGACCCAGAACTGCTGTCTAGATTAGCATGTGTCTATCCTTTGCTCTGGGCCCATGGTTTCTAGCCAGACCCCTATCATTCCTGCTGGCTACGAAAGCAATACCCCCCTCATGCTCCACTTGGGAGTGCCACTGTAACCTTCTTCAGGCCATGGTGCCCTGGCAAGGACAGGGACAAAGGCTGACTGGTAGCTCAGGGCTGGTGTGGGAATGGGCCAGTGTAGGGCACTGTGGAAGGCAAGTGGGTGGGCAGAAAAAGGGGGTGACAGTAGGGGCTCTTCTGGGTGCAAAGCATTTACCCTCCCACCGCACCCGCTCTGACGCTCTGTTAGGAGGATTACCTCGTTGATGAAGCACCCCATTTCCATCCACAAGAAGGACCTACAGAGCCACAGGGGAGTCAGTCAGCTGGGCTGTTCCTGGGACAGCAAGAAGGGGAGATGGTTCCAGATGGCTCTCATTCCCTCCTTCTATGGGTGGCAGTGGCCTGAGGGACCCCTCCACCCAAGCGCAAGCAGAGGAGTTCTCCTGACCTTAGGAGGCACCTACCTGGGGCATGAAGCCTGGTTCTTTCTCCTGCAGCCGCTGTACCAACTCTACCAGGAAGGGTACCTCTCGGAAGGCCAGGAAGCCTGACACGTAGGGGGCCTTCAGGCGAACCATGTGGCTGTCCTCATACACCACCTGACGGCAAGGCCCACGGGTACAGGTTAGACGTTGGCTGCAACCACCTGTCCCACTTCACTCCTCTGCCTCCCACCCATGGCTCTCAGGTCGGCCTCGGCCAGGATGAGACCAGCTTTGAAAGACAGGACAAAATTATTCGCCTGCAACTGGGTGGTAGGGAGTCAACTGGAATTTCATTTTACAGGTACTTGTTGGGACCAGGTATGGATGAGGAGCCCCCAAGACCTGGCATACACAGGAATACCCTTAGGGTCTAGTGTGTGTAAGGAACAACATCACCCCTGAATCTCATCTCTTTCAGGAGCTTGGCTGAGGTGATGGCCAGCCTCAGGCCTACCTGCCCCTCATACTCCTGGCTCATTCCTTGTCAGTGTGAGCTGACCACCTGCATGGATGCTGGAGGCTCAGAGTAGAAGCCCCAGGGAGAGTGTGCCGTAAACCTGGGCCATACTGTGTGCACCTCAGAAGGGCCATGGGGGAAAGGCCAGGCAGGTAGGACAGGAGTGCCTTCAGAGCCAGGTAAGCTGCAAAAACAGAGCCCCAGAGAATGGGGGAACTCAGGAAGACCAACTCCGAGGCTGAACCTAATATGTCATGGTATGGCACTCAGGACAGTAGGCCTTGTGCATTCTGGGAGAAAGCAGGGGACCAGATGGCTTTCAGGAGGAACTGGGGACACCCCAGAGAGCTTTGTAAAGGGTAGCTATTCTGGCTATGACCTTGAAGCACCATCCCTAGAGACACAGTAGGTAACTGCTCTACCTGCCTATGACCTTGAAGAGGTGTGGCCTCTTGTGACCTTTAAGAACTGAGATGCACATACGTGGTGCTCCCTCTCTGCCTTGTGGTTTTGGATGCTGAGACGGACCAGGCAGAAAAACAGTGGACCACAGCTCAGCTTTCCAGGACCCTATGTTAAATCTCCTGTGCTTTAGTGAGTCAGGGTTTCTCTGTGTAGTTTTGGTTTCTGTCCTAGATCTTGCTCTGTAGACTAGGCTGGCCTTGAACTCACAGAGATCCACCAGCTCTGCCTCCCGAGTGCTAGGATTAAAGGTGTGCGCCACCACTGCCTGGCTGTAGTGAGGTTTTTTGTTTTTTGTTTTTTTTTGGTTTTTCGAGACAGGGTTTCTCTGTGTAGCTTTGCACCTTTTCCTGGAACTCACTTTGTAGCCCAGGCTGGCCTCGAACTCACAGAGATCCGCCTGGCTCTGCCTCCCGAGTGCTGGGATTAAAGGCGTGCGCCACCACCGCCTGGCTTGTAGTGAGTTTTTAATCCCCTAAATAAATTCCTTATTCTTTAAGTAGACTCCACAGATTTCTTGCCATAAGCTACCTCTCTTAGGTCTTCTGTAGCAAAAAGACTAGTTTCCAAACTAAAAGTACCCAATCAGCACCAAAAGGTGGCCAGCTAAAACCCAACTGAGCACTAAGAGGCTAGGGCTCTGCACACAGCACACGGTGGCAAACTCCTCACTGCGGGCTTCTATCAGACTCACTGGCCTGTTGTGCAGACCCACTCCTGCTGTGTCCATGTTCTCCAGAATCCTCCCTTGCCCAGGCCCTTGATAAAAGTTTCCAGATCACAATACTCATGGACTCCCGAGCCTGGATCTGTACCTAAGTGCACCCTAGAGCACAGGCCACTGGGTGCTGGGGCTTGGACTCCCAATATTTTCACCAATGACTCAGGAAGAAACTTCTCAAGGCTGTCATGACTCCAAGTGGGTGTTCACTCAGAATCCGACTTGACAGCAACAGATTCTCCACTACAGAAAAGCACATCTGGTCAAAATGCAATGCTGCAGATCCCAGTCCCGAGTGATACACACATCTGTAGCACACTCCTGCACCTAAGGCTCTGGGACCACTGTGGAAGAGGGGCTGGAAAGACTGCAGGAGCCAGAGGAATAAGGAGTCTGCTGTGAGACTGTGTCTCCTAGAAACACCAAAAGCTGCAGTCATGAATTCTCACCATCATGGCTGCCTAAGTGACCTGAACACGGACAACACCAACAGACACGCTAACACGGACAGGGGAAAGCTCAGGAGGCCTCAACCCCACACAAGGAACTACAGGCAACTGAGGAAGGCTGAGAGCAGGAAATAGTCTTCCCCAGGGAAGAGCACACCAATTTGGTTAAACAAATGGTCAACCCTGAAATTATATACATACAAGTAACATTATACAGAGAGCAGGTGTATGGGAGAGCCTGGAGGGAGGGAGGGGAAGAGGAAGTTTTGCAATTATATTGTAATATCAAAAATAATTAAGAAAAATGCCAAATGGTGTCTTAAGCTGCACTTAGATAAACGTGTGTGGACATGACATTGATCCATGGACCTAACTGCACTGGGGTGAACTATAATTGCTGGACTGTGTTTAGTTCCACGGTCAAGGTGCCAAGATGGATCCTGCTGCAGCATCACTGGGGCCACCAGCAAATGAGGCAGCATGAGAGAGCACGGTTTTCAGAACAGAGCAAACAGTAGACGGAGCCAGCAGCAGAAGCCGGGGAAGACTCCTTCCTTCCATGCTTGGCTGCATGGAGGACGAGTGAACGCCAGAGAAGTCTCTTCTTCCTGTGGCTACTGTTGGCCAGCTATGGGCAGAGCTATCCTATAAGGCTGCCATCTGTCAAGGATGCTGAGGGAGGAATTCCTGTGTAAAGTGGACCATGAATTCTCCAACCAAGCTTTGCTTATGTGAAACCTACTGTGGGAGATGGTTTTCCCCAGGAAATGAGCTGTGGCTCCGGAACTGTGTTTAGCAGCTTTACTATGATACACTTTATATATATATATATATTTTTTTTTTTGGTTTTTTTTTTGAGACAGGGTTTCTCTGTGTAGCTTTGCGCCTTTTCCTGGAACTCACTTGGTAGCCCAGGCTGGCCTCGAACTCACAGAGATCCGCCTGGCTCTGCCTCCCGAGTGCTGGGATTAAAGGCGTGCGCCACCACCGCCCGGCCTCACTTTATATTTTTAAAGTGTGTAAGTCAATGAGTTTTTTTTGGTGTTTCCACTATCATTATAATCTAATTTTAAATATTTTATTATTTTTATTGTATGAGTGTTTTGTCTGCATGTCTGTAAACATACCATGTGTGGTGCCCATGAAGGCCAGAAGAGGGCCCTAGAACTAGAGTTACAGTTGTGAGATGCCATGTGGGTGCTGAGCACTGAACCCAAGTCCTCTGTAATACCAAGTGCTCTTGACTGCTGAGCAATCTCTCTGGGCCCCATAATCTAATTTTAGAACATTTCCTCCACCCCACAAATTAGCACGGTCCTAAGCAGCAATTACACCCTATCTAAACCATGCTCAGCTTTAGTGTGATGATCAACTTTGGTTAGATTTAGAATTTCTTAAGAGGGACTAGAGAGATAGCTTAATGGTTAAGAGCACTGGCTGCTCTTCTAAAGGTCCTGGGTTCAATTCTCAGCATCCACATGGAGGCTCACAACCACAACTTTCTATAACTCCAATCCCAGGAAATCAAACACCCTCTTCTGGCGTCTATGTACATCAGGCCTTGCCTGCAGCCTGTGAGACCAGCAGGCCTCCATGGACATCAGGCATGCACACAGTGCACAGACATACCCACAGACAAAACACCCATACACATAAAATAATAATACAAAAATCATGCCGGAGACACACCTCTGGGTATGTCTGTGAGAACATTTTCAGAGAGGTTCAACTCATGAAGAAAGATCCACCCTGAATGTACGCGGCACCATTCCACGGACTGGAGTCTAGAACTGAATATAGGAGATCAAGCGCTAAGCACCAACATTCCATTTTTTTTTTCTTGGTCTACTGTAACAAGCAGCCTCATGTGCCTGCCACCATGCCTTCCCCGCCACAGTGGACTGAACCCTGGAACCATGAGCAAAATAAATCCTTAAGTGGCTTTTGTCATGTGTAAGTAACTCATGTGCCTAGGTAACCACAGATCTACATCCTTCAGGAGCCTGCCTATGCAATCTACATCTCGAAACACACTTCCAGGTGAGCCACAGTCAAGCAACTGGGAACCAGTGGGCCACACTCTTCCAAAGCTCTTTCCTGACTTAAGACTACAAGAAGCCAACGCTAACTGAATGTTGACACAGGTGCTCTGCTCAGTGCTAGGGTTACAACACAACTCTGGCGTACCACGACCCTCAGGGAGGGGAAAAAGATGGAACCCTGCCTGGTGGGTTCCACATGGCTGAGACATGTTGTGACAGCATGTACACTAAACAGGGCTGAATGCCACAAGTCAGTGTGTTTAAGTCTGCAGAGGAGGAGTGTTGTAGAATATTAGTTTAAAGATGTGTTACAATTGTTTGTGCTGTGGAACATTTGTTTTAATGTGAAGATGTGTTGCGTTATTTATGTTTCATTTGTTTAATGCTGTGAAGCTGTTACTTTGCCTGCCTAAAACACCTGATGGTCTAATAAAGAGCTGAATGGTCAGTAGCAAGGCAGGAGAAAGGATAGGCGGGGATGGCAGGCACAGAGAATAAAGAGGAGAAATCTGGGAGAAAAGAAGGAGGGAGAGGAGGCAACACAAGGGACCAGCCACCCATCTACACAACCAGCAACAGAATAAGAAAGAAAGATACACAGAAGTGAGAAAAGGAAAAAGCCCAGAGGCAAAAGGTAGATAGGATAATTTTTCTTAATTTTATTTATTTAGCCAGGCAGTAGTGGCGCACGCCTTTAATCCCAGCACTCAGGAGACAGAGCCAGGTGGATCTCTGTGAGTTCGAGGTCAGCCTGGTCTACAGAACGAGATCCAGGACAGACACCAAAACTACACAGAGAAACCCTGTCTCGAAAAACCAAAAAAGAAAAAAAAATGTATTTATTATGTACAGAGTTCTGCCTGCATGTATGCCTGTAGGCCAAAAGAGAGTACCAGATCTCATTACAAATGGTTGTGAGCAGCCAGTGCCACTAACCGCTGAGCCATCTCTCCAGCTCTTAGATAGGATTTTTTTTTTTTTTTTTTTGAGACAGGGTTTCTCTGTATAGTTTTGCGCCTTTCCTGGAACTCGCTTTGGAGACCAGGCTGGCCTTGAACTCACAAAGATCCACCTGTCTCTGCCTCCCGAGTGCTGGGATTAAAGGCGTGCACCACCACCACCCGGCCAGGATAATTTAAAGTTAAGAAAAGCTGGCAAGAAACAAGCCAAGCTAAGGCCAGGCATTTATAATTAATAATAAGCCTCCGTGTGTGATTTATTTGGGAACTCAGTGCTGGGCCTCCCAATAGTCAAAGAGCAAAAACAACCAACTACAGAGGACAGCTGGAAGATGGCATTCTGTGCCAGCTGCTTCCCATACAACTTTAAGAGTTGGCATTAATACCATCACCTTTCTGTTGCTGTAATAAAAAACTCAGCCTGAAGCAACTTGGGGAGAAAAGGGTTTATTTCAACTTACACTTTCAAGTCACAGTCCATCACTGAGGGAAGTCAGGGTGGGAACTCAAGCATGAACTGAAGCAAAATCATGGAGAAATGCTGCTTACTGGCTCATTCAGCTAGCTCTTATACAGTCCAGGCCCACCTGCCTAGGGACAGTGCTGCCCACAGTGGGCTGGGCCCTCTCACCTCAATAATCAATCAAGACAGTCTCTCACAGACATGGTCACAGGTCAATCTGATTGAAGCAATTCTTCTATTGAAGCTCCCTCTTTCCAAGTGACACTACATTGTGTCAGGTTGACAATAAAAACTAACCAGGACAATCTTTCTCACTAGTCAGAGAGAAAAAGAGGCCCAAGGGATAGGGCGGGGAGCGGTAGACCCAGGGTATCCACAGGAGCTACCTGTGCTGGTGTCTCTGTTGTTCCCCCTACACTATCTTAGCAAATAACCAGGGACCCACAGGGACATGAGCCCCAGTTCTTCCCACTACACACCTAGCTCCAAGCACAGTAGGCACTCTGCATTGGTGCTGAGCTGGAACTTAAAGGGGCCACCTGAGAAGACACAAAGCTAGTCAGGAAGGATCTGCTGCTTTTGGAGGAGTGGTGATGGGAAATGCTGAGTCTGGGGTGCAGCCAAGGCCTCCTGAGATGCTGACTATAGATGAACCACAGGCTGACTGCTCAACTCATGCACATTATCTATGTAGAGAGGACCTGAGTGTCTTACACATACCAGGGCAAGTCATGGCTCCTGGCATCAGAATTTACACTCTGGGAGGGAGACAGGCTAAGCTCATTTCAGTATGACAGAGGAGAGGTTCAGGGTTGCTATGGTCTTTAAATTTTAACCTACAAGGTGACTGGATTAAGTGGGGAGTGTTGGGAGGACACAGGGAGAAGGGCCTATCTGAATCCGGAAGTCTTATCAGAACCCCAGTCTCGCTCTACTCCCTGACTTGAACTTCCGGCTTTCACAACTGTGAGAAATCTCGTTTGCGTGCTGCCTAGCCTGACACATTTTGTCTATCAGACACAGACTGAAAAAGGACGCTGAGAAGCAACTCTGGTCTTGTGGGATGAAGGCTAATAGAGTTCATATTTGCTAATGGGACTTCGAGGCCCTGTTCCCTGCTTGATGTGACCCTATTGGTTTACCTTAACCCATTGTTCTCAGTCATTCCTGAACACTATTTTTCAGAGCTTTAAATCCCTCCAACAGGGCTCTGATGGTCTTTCTCTGTAGGCATGCCTTCTCTCCTAGAGTGGTCCTCACCTGGCTGGATGCGACTTCCTGAAGAGCTCAGTTTAGACAGTATTTACTCTAGTGAACCTTCTTCATCCTAGGAAGGCTGAGACTTCCTGCTTGGGCAACCTGTGTTATGTGAGGTGAGCAACCCAAGACAATCAGACTTAGAACTGTCTGTTGATCCTTCAAGAAATATTTTTAATTTAGTATTTGTGTAGGTATGTGTGGACTTGTGGGAGTTTATATACACCAGATGCATGCTGGTGCCCACAGGGACCAGAAGTCAGTTCAGATCTTCTGGAGCTGGAATTAAATGCAGTTGGGGACAGCCTGATGTGGGAGCTGGAACTGAACCTGGATCCTCTGCAAGAACAGTATTCCCAACCAACCCTCTGTCCATTGATTCTTCAAAGTTACAGTATTTCCTTAGCCTTTTAAAAATACACTCAAATCTATACATTAAATTCTACAAATGAAGTGGAAGTGTATCAATCCCTTAGCATGTTAGAGATCCTGGGTCAGCTTTAGCATCAAAAATAATAAAAAAAAAATTCTAAAAACATAGGGCGCAGGGGTGGAGAAGAGAAGAAAAACTTTACAAAATTGTACCCAGGCTCTGACCCCTGTTTGGGAGCCAGTCCCCCTGGGTGCCTAGCCTACGAGTGAACAGCATCGGGCTCAGGGTCTCACCCAGGTTACCTTGAGCTCTGGGTAGCTCAGCACTACCAGGGAAGCGCAGGCCCGATCACTATCCCCATTTACGAAGGACACGTCCACGCCCCCGACCCTCTGCAGGCCGGAGAAGGTGGGGTCCCGCTGCCAGGCCTCCGTGTCCCGGTCCACCATGAGCGCCTTCAGCCGGGCTTGTTCCCTAACAGGACACAAACATCAAAACGGGCTCAGGGCCCTCGGGACGGCCTAACCCTCTGGGCGCCCTCCCTCCCATCCAACCCTCTCTCCTTTCTGCCCATCAAGGGAGAATGAGGAAGGAAAGCGCTCGGTGATCTGATGTGTACCGGAAACGAGGGCCGCGCCCACCAAGGCAGGCTGCAACTTCCGGCGACCCGGGCCAGGCCTGCGGTGTAGCGCCGGTGTTCCCTTTCACAGCTGCCATAGAGGCTGTGAGGTGGGAAGGTCATTGGAGAAGGCCAGCCCCCTTGACTACTGCAGGGCCCCGACCCCATTACCGTTTCCAGAGCAACAGGGTTTCCTCCGACGGCCATTGCGCGGCCTTGTGGGCCATGGTTAGGGCCCGACGCCTCTAGGAACGTCACTTCCGGTGCGCCCCGTGCCGCGCTGCTAGCCTTCGTCGCCCGGTTCCTTGCGTCAGCTGTTGCCGACGCCACCAGGGGCCGCTCTCACAGCAGTGCTGGACGTCAGTCCGCTGTCCTGTTGCTGGGTTGCAGCTCGGGTTTCGGAAATGCGAGCTCCGCTCTGAGCTTCAGGCGCCTCCCGCCCTCCCAAGGCAGCCTTGGCCCCACTCGGAAAAGATTAAGGAGCAGCTGCATTCCTCGCACACCCTAAGGTCCTGGCGCCGCGGTTCCTCCTCAGCAGGTTCGGTAGCTCTGGGGCCAGGTTCGGGTCTGCGCATCCCCACGTTGCGTCTGGACAGGAGCTTGCTGAGCAGAAAGCCTCTCTCTAAACTTTAGTCTAAAGGACAAGGGGACACCTTTGCTGCATACAGTCTTCCTCAGTTGTATCGATTGTGAGAAAACTACAGTCCGAAATAACGAAAGACTCGTGACTGTGAGGCTCGCGGGCAGTGGTGACACACACTTTTAATGCCAGCGCTGGAGAGGCAGAGGCAGGCGGATCTCTTGAGTTCGAGGCCAGTCTGGTGTAATAGTGAGTTCAAAGACCTCCAGGACTACACCGGGAAACTCTGTCTTGAAAAAACAAATAAAACACTTGCAGATAAGTGTTACAGCTCAGAGAGGAGTGACTGCTCCTGCGGGGGTGGGGGTGGGTCCCAGTGCAAGTGTTACAGCTCTGCTCAGGCCTCTCCCCTCTCCCCCTCTCCCCTTCTGTGTTACAGCTCAGAAGGGAAAGGTATCCTAGCCTTTGAGGAGCCAAGGAATACCACAAAGTCACACCACACAACAAACCTCATACAAGAGATTTACTGGGAGGGGAAAACCAGGAGGGCAGCTGCCTCTGCTCCACAGGGTTTATATGGGATTTCTAGGGGTGGAGGTGGGGCTTTCCAGGGTGACCTGATCTTGGGACAAGGTCAGGGATTGGTGGGATTTTGTGGCCCAATCTTGCTTGGCCTTTTTGTTTTTCTGTAGGGAGGGGCCTGGCCACTCTCTCCCCTAGAGGAGCTGGGAATGGCTGTCAGTTAGAGAAGTCTGGGGAGCAGGGCCTGGCCTTTGGAGCTCCTCAAGCACCTCCTCTCTAGGGGTCAGGCCAGAATAGTCTAGGGATGGAGCCTGAACTCCAGAGGTCTCCGGAGGCAGGGTGTACAGGGGGTCTCTGAGAGCAGCAAGGGAGGCTGTCCTGCAGCCAGAGTTGGCGTAAACATCCAACACAGACCAGGGTGGTAGAATGAAAATATATAAAGGAGATTCAGAACTTACCATTGAGAGTGAGGGCAAGCAGGCAAAAAGCAAAAGCTTCCTTCCTCCATGTCCTTTTATATAGGATGTCACCAGAAGGTGTGGTCCAGATTTATGGTTGGGTCTCTGGACCTTGGATAATCCAATCAAGGAAATGTAAATGGATGTTCCCTGTTCCAACCACCCAGTCTCAAATAAACACACAGAAGGCTTTTATGAATTATAAATGCTTGGCAAATAGCTCGGGCTTATTACTAACTAGCTCTTCCATTTTAAGTTAACCCATATTCCTTGTTTACAGTCTGCCACATGGCAGTACCTTTATTAGTATGGTGCACATTCATCTCCTGCGCCCTCTGTATCTGACTGGTGACTCCTGACTCCGCTCTCCCTCTTCCCAGCAGTCTTAGTTTGGTTGCCCCGCCTATACTTCCTGCCTGGATACTGGTCAATCAGCATTTTATTAAACCAATTCTAGTGATAAATCTTTACAGCGTACAAGAGGATTATTCGATAGCAAGGAAATCCCTCACAGGTGCTTGGGTTTTAGTTGATTGCAGATATAGTCAAGTTGACAACCAAGATTAGCCACCACAGGGAGTCAACCTAAAACAAACCCAAAATTGGCTAGTGTCTGACGATTTGGTGAAGAACTGCAGTTTTTATATTCCTAATTGCACTTGTCTGCCCCTTTAATTCCCCACTGGATGGGCACTTAAGGAGGTATAATCTTCCTGTGTCTAGTATAGCCTCTTCCCCCAAATGACCATTTTATCAGTTCAGGACACAGAGCCTTATCTAATGTATGTCCTTCCCTCTCTATGATATCAGCTCAGCAGACTAATTTTTTTAACATTTTATTTTTATTCACGTAAGTCTGTGTCATGAGTACAGGTACCTGTGGAGGCCAGAGGAGTTAGATCTGGAGCTGGAGTTAAGGGAGACTGTGAGCCTCCTGGCATGTATGCTAGGAATTGAGTGTGGGTCCTGTGAAACAGCAGTACACATTTTAATCACTGAACCATCTCTCCAGCTCTAGACTACAGTTTTGTTTTTACCTTAAGACAAGTTAAGAGAGCCGAGGCAAGCAGGTGCCAGCTGGAAGGGTTGGGCTTGGAACCTCTTGCTTCTATATGCTCTGGTAAACTTGAGCGAATCTAAGGCACTTCCTTTGGAAATAGATAGTTCATATTTTTTCTTAGACAAGCACTTCCCCAGTGCCCCTTCCTTCTGCATTGTGGTAAATGCTGGCATTGAGTTGGGAGCCACAAGATGGGAGAGTATGTGCAATTGTGCTGTGCTGGTGAGAGGGAAAAGCAGTAAATATGGGAAGAGGACTTTGGCTGGAGGTGGGCATGGCCTGTGTGGAGAGATACTTAGACCTGCAGTTGCCCTACTCCTCCTGCACTGTGGCATTCAGTAGTTCCTGGGGGTGGACTGTCACTTTCTTCAGTGGCGTGGCCATGTTTCAGTAAATAACCTCCCACCCATGCTCATGCAAGCAGCTGTAATGAGGCTCAGTGGGCCACATACAAAAGACACCGGGAAGTACGGGGGACTTGGGAAGACTGGTTTCGGTAGGGGAGGAAGGGGATGAGAGACGGCATGATTGGAGTTCATCAGACAGGGAAAAGGTCAAAGAAGAGAATGTGAGTATGAATGTGGTAGGCAGAGGGAACAACAGTTATAAACGTCCCAAGGCAGGAGTGCAGGGGGTGTTGAAGGCAGCAACTAATGTTGGGAAACACTAGGAGAATTCAGAAGTGTACGCCTAAGTCACGTAGTCTGAAGATAGATTTCCCGAGGAAAATATGAAAGACTAGATTAGACCAAACTAGAGTTTGTGGTTTGGGAAAGGCTTCCTGTAACAACCAACAGGACCTTGAAAGGCAGCAGGTTTTCAGCAGGGAGAGAAAGTCCCGTTCACTGAGCACCAGGCATGGCGCTGGTATTTATCTACCCTGTGTTATCTTACCACAGACGTGGGAGGCATTTTGCAGAAGAGGAAACTGCAGTTAGAAGAGGTCCAGTGGCTGGTCTGTCATCATTGAGCTGGAGAGCCAGCACCCATACTCAGGTCTGCTGCCGGCCTGACTTTGTTAGAGTGGTCAGGGTAGAGTTTGGTGTTTGGGAGCTGTTCGTGCCAGTGACGATGGGGCAGACTCTGTGAGTCCTGAGGAAGTTATGGCTGAGGTGTTGATTGAAAGGAGCATTGATGGGTATGTCTGTGTGGGAAGGGAAGCACCGCAGAAGAGCTCCCAAGCCAGGGGGGCGGAGAAAGGGCTGCCCCTGCCCCTCCCCACTCCTGCCCAGATGAAACACTGGTGTGCTTTACCAGAGGGCCGCTAGAGAGGCGTGAGTGGCTGGAGTTGCTGTCGGAAAAGGTGCTTTGCCCGTGCTCCGTTTCTAGTTGTGTGTGGATCCTGAATGCTTGCGCCCAGGTTTACTTAGCAAGCGAAGGGAGCAGAAAAGTGCAGAATGCAATGCAGATGCTAGATGAGAGACGGAATGATTGGAGTTCATCATTGGAGTATTGGCACAGGGCCTTCTGCCCCCTGAGCACCTCTCCAGGCTCAGTTAGTTCTGCAGCCTGATGTTTAACACTTTATTCATCTGTTGTGGAGCTCTTTCCTCCTAACTGAAACACTGGTTCCTGAAGGGCAGTGGGAGGCTCAGGAGAAACCCACTGGGCCCTGAAGCCCACAAAGCCCCAAGGCTTGGTAGACTTGTCCCGGAGTTACATAAGTAGTGAGCAATTGTTGGGGGAGGAGAGACTGGTGGAGACGCCTGTAAATTGGTCAGGGAGCCCCGGGATGCAGCTTTGATTACGTGTTACCCAAGCAGGGCTGAGCATTTCAGTGATTGCCTGTACCTAAGTGAGACGTGTTTGGACTCATTTCTGTGGTCTTCTCTCAGTGTGTTGTCTGGCTGAACAGATGTTTGCTTATGGCTCTCCAGGAAGTCATGCACCAGCACCACTTGAGAGACGTGTCCACTCATAGACTGGTGAACTCTGGGCACCCAGACTGGGTCACTTGAGTGACCTGGCTGAGCCCTCTGAGCCACTGCTCCCTTCATGGTTCCTGCTTATTAATGGAACTTTCTGTTAGCTCAAGTGTCTCAAGGCCATTTCAGTTAACAAATGGCAAATCTTTCAAGGTTTAGCAAAGGCACAGAATTTGAATTACTACTCTCTTTCCTTGCCTTTATTTCCTATTCCTAAGGGGTCTTCCTTATCCACAGTCCACTTCATTGAAGTCAGATCTCATCCCCATTTGGTGGTAGCTGTTTTCAGTGAGGTTTCTTCTGGCAGAACCAGTAGAGCAGTGCTGTCTCTATCATAAACAAGAGTCATGCTGTCCCTTTGCTCTGAGGAAAAAAAATATATCGCCCATGTCCTAAACTAGAGTATAGATCTTCTCTTCTGAGCCCTACTGGATACTACAGCAGGGGTACTTCCACAGAAACACAAAACCATTTTGAAAAGCCTGGCCAAGGTCTGTGTGTTGTAAATGTAAACTCAGAAGGATTTGAAATATTTAAAAATTCATTATTGCATTTGTGTGTGTGTGTGTGTGTGTGTGTGTGTGTGTGTGTGTGTGTGTGTGTGTGTATGTGTGTATCAATGTCAGAGGGCAACTTGGAGGAGCAAGTTCTTTCTTCTCTGACACAGGTCTCCAGGACTGTCAGGCTTGCAGCAAGTGCCCTTACTCGCTGAGCCATCTCCCCGGCCCAAAAAGGACTCTTAGAAGTAACGCTCGTTTATTAAAAGGGTATAACAAAAATAATGCAATCTACTTTTGCCAGTGTTAGGACTGTATATTTTATACAGACATGGTAACACTACATAGACAGTTAAGGCTTTAAAAGTATAGCATACAAAATGAAACATCTTAATTAAAATTCTTCATGACAGAAAAAAAAATGCCTAGGTCAAAGCCAAAAAAGGCCTTCACAGCAAGAAACAGAGGGCTCAGCTGCCCTCTGATGGCTAGGGCGAGTTAAACCCCAATCTGAGGTATCACAGGAGTTTCAAGGCCAAGTTGGGAAAATCAGTGAGCCTTGTACCCCGAAACATCCATTCTGCAGGAAACCTGGGATGCAGACATCTGGGACAGGTGCTCTTCATGGTTTGGAGTAAGATGATCACTGTCGCTGTGAATACAGTCTGACATGAGTTACTGCAGGGTCTGGTCCCTGCGTCAGGCTCTGAGGAGAATGTCGGAACAGAGCCTAGTCCATCTCCTGTTGGTGCTGTGACCATAGATGTGCTCCTGATTACCAGTCTGTATTTCTGCAGCTCAAAGTCCAGTTTACTGTCTCTGTGAAGGAAATGACTTCCAGCTTGTAAACACTGGCTGTTCTTACATCACTACAAATGGTGGTGAGTGCCAGGAAGAGGATTAGTCCAGAGGGATCGGGGATCCAGAGTGGATTGTAACACAGAGAGGCAACACCTTCAGCGAGAAAGGCAGAACAATACAGGTGGGCTCGTTTCCAGCCTTCTCTCAAACTGCTTGGTACTCAGCCTTGGCTGAGACTCAAGAAAGGGCCAGATATGTGTACTCAGGGAAGCGAAGACCACTTTGAATGCTCACTGGACAGCTACACAGTAACTCTCTACAGCATTCCCCAAATACCTTTCTTTTTATTCATTGTTCTATGCTCCCAGTCCAGTGTTCTCACTGAGTGTTTGGCTTTATTCCCTTGTAATTTGGCAGTGACTTATGGTGGGGTCGACATTAGCTCTTGTTCATGTGGCCTTACAGCTTGTACAAACACCTTGGGTTTCCATGGGTTAGTGTGGCAGTTTTCATACAGCTTGGAAACCAAGAAATATGTGTGCAATACTCAAAACTTAAGGGACTGGAAGAACGAATGCATGTATTCTTTCTATTCTACATAGATAGTAGAATAGGAAAAAATGCACCACCCCCGTGTTCTCTCTCTATGCAGTCAAGTGGTGGCCATGAAACATGAGGTAAGAGGCTGGCGGCCTTAAGAGGATCAGTGTTGGTCATGAGCTGACTGTGATTCTCTTTGTTTCTTCTGGAATGTACAAGAGGCAGTTAATTACCAATTTTCTATAGCCATACACGAGGAAGTTTTGGAACAGGCGCATGTTCCAAAAATAGCTTGGCTCTCAAAAAGCCATCAGCTTGTGTGGTGTGTCTAAGCTTTGAATCCAGTGCGGTGTCCACACTTCCCTTCACAAAGGCCACAGCCTGTGTTGGGACCTGTCAATGGAGGAGGGGAAGACCTTCCTTTCCAGCCATATTTGAAGGCTGAGATGCTCTACCTCGCTTGCCGGTCCTGCTTTTGTGTGGCAGCAGCTTTCCACACTGAGATGCAGCTGGACATGAGGATCTCTTCTGGGAACTGGGATTCCACTTCTGGAAGGACATCACTCTCTTTAGTCTCCATGTAACTTACTAGAGTGTCCTTGAGGCTGTGAAACCAAGGGACAAGAGAGAGTTCTGTGACATCACAGCCCATCCAGTGGACCAAGATACCAGCCAAGAACAGACAAACTGAGAATCTTAGGTAGGCCAAGAGTTGAACTCCTGTACTGGTGTGGAAGCCCAGGGCCAACCCTCCTGTGGAGGGAGCTGGCCTCACAGCAGAGCTAGATGGCTCTTGGCATGGCTAATGTGAATAGTGGGGCCATGTGGAAAAATCAAAGCCTCACCATTGTGTTCTCTTACTCTTATAGTAAGAGACTGCAAATTCTAGAAAGGAGAACAGGGCTAGTATTTTAAGTCTAGGCCAGTAGAGACTTTTCATCTAAGTTTAGAGAATACAGATGTACACAGGCATATGCCATATAATATTCTGGAAGGAAAGAGAAAATATAAAATGATGACTGAGGAAAGCTGGAGTTTGAATGTTTAGAAGAACAGGCAGCACATGCCTATCACCCCAGCTCTTAGAAGGAAGATTGAGTTCTTTGCCTGCTTGGGCTGCAAGACCTTGTCTCAAAAAGCAGAAAGACAGGAGAAAGAGCACAGTTCAGTCCTTGCCTCACACCACACATAACTGGCCGATAAAACAAACATGTGGTGTAGCAGCAGAAAACATGAGGCTGTTTTATATCCCGGGCATGATAAGGCAGACTCTTGCTTGTGTATTTCCCTATAGATACTTTATAAGAAAAATCATCAGATTTCATTTGATAAAACTAAAGCTTGAGATCATTTATATAATCCTGATAAAAGGTTAATTTCTGTTCTATACAAAGAACTTTTCAAACCATTATGAGATTAAACAGCCAGGACTGGAGCACATGTTTGTGCTTAGTGATTTTAAGCACTGGCTGTTCTACCAAAGAGCCCGGGTTTGATTCTCAGCACCCACATGGTGGCTCACACCATCTCTGTAACTTCAGTTCCAGGTGATCAGAATCCTTCTGACCACCCCAGGGAATCAGGCATTAAAGTGGTGCACAGGCTTATATGCAGGGAAAACACACAAGCACGTGTAATAAAAGTTTGAAAAGAGATAAACAATCCCCAAATTAAGCAAAAACAGTAAAGAGCATCATTCACGAATGACTGATGAGTGTAAAATGTGCCCAGCCATTAAGTGCCTCCACAGTAGGGATGTGCACATGAAAAGGAGAAGCTGGTGTTGGACCGTTAGATTGACATGCTTGGAAGAGATGGCTAATCGTGTTCTGTAGCCTTTACACACCGGTGTGGCTTTTAATCAACTTTACAGTGAACACTTGTTTGATATAATAAGTCTACTTGTTATAAGGAGAATGTATGAGTTTGTTTGTAGTTTTCATGTAGTCTTTTGCTTCTAACTCCTGAGTGCCAAGATTATTGGTGTGTGTTACCATGCCCCATCTCTGTAGCACTGAGGAATGAATCCAGGGCTCTGTACATGCTAGGCAAACACTCTACCAATGAGCTACATCCCCAGCCTTCCTTCCTGTTTGCCTGCCCTTTCTGTGTGTGGTATGTACATGTATGTACATGTTTGTGCATGTGTATCCAGAGGCCAGAGGATGGCATTGTGTATCTTACTCTATCACTTCCCACTTTCTCTTTGAGACAGGATCTCTTACTGAACCTGGAACTTACTTTTTTGCCAGCTGGCCAGCAAGTTCCCAGGATCTGCCTGTCTTCCTCTACCACACCCCCGGTGCTGGGGATATAGGCATATGTCGTCATACCCAGACTTTGATATGGGTGCCAGGGATCTAAACACAAGTCCCCATGCTTGTGCAACCAGCAAACCTGCTGGGCCATTTCCCTAACCTCCTACCATCAAATAGAAAACTCAAGAAATTAAAACCAAAGAAGCCTGGAGTGGTGGCACACGCTTTAATCCTAGCACTCAGGAGGCAGAGGCAGATGGATCTCTGAGTTGAGACTAGCCTGGTCTATAGAATTCTAGAGTTCCAGGACAGCCAGAGCTATACAGACAAATCCTGTTTTGGAAAACTGAAAACCAAAACCACAGGTACAAAAATACCAAAGGCATGGACAATGAGCAGAAAAGGGGTCTTGGGTAAGTTAGGACTATCTTCAAGTCCAGGGGAAGCCACTGGACAACAGGGCATTCTGCCAGCAGCTATACAAGGCCATACCTCCATTTGGGGTTGAAGCTGCTTTCAGCCTGGGGGCCTCTGAGTTTCAGCACAATCATCTCATGGAGCTCCAGGAGGAAGGCGTCCAGGCCTGCCTCATTCAGAAATGTGCGGAGGAGCCTGGCGTGCTGCGGACTGAGGTCCTCTTTGTACTTCACATCAATTTCCCGAAACAGCTCCTGAAGCGAAGGATCAACAAGTGGACATTAAGACCTGGGGGACCTGGGTGCTTCCTGCTCCCTCCACAGTGGAAAGCAAGTGAGACTCACTTTCTTCAGCCGCAGCCGCTGTTCTGACTTATGTGCAGATAGGAACTGCCAGAGGGCAATGACATGTCTGAGCTGACATCTGTCTAAGGCCTGAAAGAGACACAGAACCTCAGTGGAAGGCAGAAGTCCCACATGTGTCACCCATGTGCCACACCATAGGCACATTCTGTTTCTCTTGTCGTGGGACAGCCTTCTTCACAAGTTCACCTGGCCCATCCTTAACAGTCTCCTCATTCCGCAGCAACAGAGTCATGACATCACACACTGCAGACCTGCAGTGCTCACAGATGGTGAGCTCCGCCTAGATGGTCAGCATGGACCATGTGTTAGTTACTCTGCTGTCTCAAGTGTGCTGTGTGCATGGTGGACCGATAGTGTGAGGAATGCTCTTGATTTTTCTCTTTTCTGGGGTTCCTACATTGATGCATGGTGGAATTAGGTAGGAAGCCATGCCGATTTCCCATGTAATACCTTTCAACAGGACACCCCTCCCCGTTCTGAGACATGGTCTTGCTTAGTAGCCCTACTATGGCTTGGAACACACTCTGTAGCCCAGGCTTACCTTGAACTTGCAATCTTCCCGCCTCATCCTCCAGAGTACTGGGATGACTGGTATATACCACCAGGCTCAGCACTAGCATTTACCTTTGAAATCAGAGTTGTCTGATCACCCATCTGTAGGACATCTTGAATGTACACATTCAGGTCCATGCCAGGATCCCCGCCAGCTGTGCTCAGGAAACGCAGGGTGAC